AAACCCTGGTGTAGCAGAAAACCCGAGCACTCAACGCCATGAAATCCGCATATACCGAAACAGGGGTTCTATACTGTCTGAGGTCAAGGAACAGTAGCCCGCTGTACTTCTGGGATATCTAGTAGAAACTTATCTACAGTGTCTCAGGCTCCAGCGTCGGCGGGTGCTCCTCTGCCCAGAGGCGTATGAGGTCGAACACCTAGACGGTCGTGGGGAAAGGGGCGGCGACTTTCGGGTTTGTTTCGGGGTCTAGGGCCTAGTTCCAGGATTAGGGGTTCGGGGCTTTAGGGTTTTAGGGTTTAGAGACAGAACATCCAGAAATTTGACAAATGCACGTACAAAATCAGTACCGTGCAACAAGGCGTCATACTAAACACAAGAAGATGCAGCTAACCCCTGTTGTGCTCACACAGCCAGCCACACTCGCATAGGTGTCTGCTCATGACACCTGCGTAAGATCCTGTCGGACAGGCTCCCCAAGCGCTAATGTAGCAGCTTTAATAATTAGAATATGGTTTTGGGGGTATAGTATTCTACAATTGTACCCACAATAGTATCGGTCATTATTTAGGCCCGTATATGAAACCATGAATCTTGAACTCAACTGTCAACACCCCAAACGAAACACGGCCTAACACCAAAACCAGGCCTCACTCCGAAACCTCCCCAATGCAGACCATGTAAAATACGATGTTTAGGTTTAGGATTTAGCGGGGTTTAGGGTTTAGGGTTTAGGATTTAAGGGGGTTTAGGGTTTAGGGTTTAGGATTTAGGGGGGTTTACGATGTTGAGTGTAAGGACTCCTAAACAGGAAGATCGATTTGAGCACCCCCACGAAGAAATCTACCAACAAGGCTGACTCCAAACCCAAGCAGAACCCGTAAGCGCCATATACATCCTATGACAACCCTAGAACAAACACAGACTAACGATGTCGATCTCCCTCGCACCGAGCCTTGTTGCCACAAAAGGCGCGATCGGAGTGCATAAACTCCTAGGTTCCTGAGTGACCCCTGAATAATAAGGGTACCCTTTTTCCTGTTATTCAGTTTGAAATCAGGGAACAATACAATAAAAAGGGCAAAAGGGTACTACTCAGGAACCTAGACTCATCAAATGGCAGACCTCCGCGCCTCCCTCGCCGCGCTGGCGGCTGGCGATTTCGACGGCTTCTTCGAGTTCCTTTTGCTGTCTGCACCGGCTGCTCGCACAACACTCAACTCCTCCAGAAGACCTAAACCCTAAACCTAAACCCTAAACCCTAAACCCTAAACCGTTTGACCTGCTTTGAGAGTTGTCCGCAGGGGCCACCGAGAGCTCCGTCTCCCGTGCCGCTCGAGCGGACAGAGCTTCTTAGGGTTTAGGGTTCAGGGTTTAGGGCTTAGGGCCTTGAGGGTTTAGGGTTTACTCGCATTCCTTGCCGGCAGGTGTCAACACTTTTACCGGCTCAGCTTGCTCTTGGACATCGAGGAATTGTACCAGTAACGCCACCCGTATCACGGCCAAAGAGTGCTGAACGGTATAAACCCTCAACAAACCCAATATTACGTAGGCCTTAGACAAACCATGCACAAATCCGGCAAAGCCCCATGTAAATCTAGGTTCCTGAGTGACCCCTTAATTATGATAAGGGTACCCTTTTTCCTGTCATTCAGTTTTAATAAGGGAACAAGACAATAGAAAGGGCAAAAGGGTACTACTCAGGAACCTAGGTGAATCCTAAAACCCTAAACCCTAAATCCCTAAACCCTAAACCCTAAACCCTAAACCCTAAACCCTAAACCCTAAACCCAATAAGGTAATCAGCCGAACACCTTCGCCTGAGGGCCTTGCGACTGCGTTGGGGGCGTCGGTCTTGATAGCCTCGTCTAGGGTTTAGGGTTTAGGGTTTAGGGTTTAGGGTTTAGGGTTTAGGGTTTAGGGTTTAGGGTTCGGAACTTGCCCTACACCTATACAGATCGCTGAAAACGGTTAATTTGCAACCCCAAAGGTGTAATATAACATGACTGCCAGGACTTACCGGCCTAAATATTGCATTCTTTGGGCCGCGTTCCTGCTCAGTCTCTCAACTCTCGCCAGCACGGACCCACCGATTAAGGATCTGGGCTCGAGAATTAGGGGCAACTCTAGCAAGCTGAATCCTAAAACCTAGGAACCAGCCCTAAAACCTATTTTAGGGTTTAGGGTTTAGGGTTTAGCGTTACCACTCTGCCACGCACGCTCTTGCTCTGTCGCGTTTGCTGTTGTGGGGCTTGAGTCTTCTTCTGCTTTCAGCCCTTTTGCTGAACCCTTGGTTACTTTACTGCTAGGTTTAGGCTTGAGGTCTTTGTCTTGGTAATATAGGGACCAACATAATTACCAATATTAATTTGAGGGCTCGAATTGCCTACTAGCTGGCAGTAGCAGTAGGAAGATCGGAAGCCCCAGCACCATTCGGTGCCCGGGTTCGAGCGGGCGGCTGCTACGCCGGTCTACAGCTCCCCGGCTTGGCACAGACGACAAAGGCGAAGACGGTCTGCAGCCAGAAAGACACTCCACGCGGGTCGCGGGCTCAGCCGTCGACAGCTACAGGCCTTGATCTCCCACCACGGCACTCCGACCGAGCAGCGAAGGATTCTCTTGGGCCCTAGCTGGGTGATGGGTCGTGGTGCTAAGCATAAGCAACCATGGCGCAACGACGGACAGGAGTGGGGGCACTTGTGGCGTGGAGCTTGGTCTCCACAGTTGCGATCGGAGCAACCTCGACCATGGAGACAATCAGGACAAGGACAGACCCCAGCCTTTCCCTCGTACACTACCATGCCGCAGGGTACCAAAGAGGGGAGGACGAAACAGACTGTAGCAGACCAACAGCTACAGCCCTTTGGTTTGGCCCATGGACTTCAAGGTCTACTCAACTCGGCAAGGAAAGCAGAGATCAAGCTACAGAAGCTTCTTGTCTCGAGGGACAAGGCTTCGGAGCAATGGAGTGCCTTCCAGAAGGGACTCGAAGAATCGTTCCTTCGGGAACGAGCCAGATACAACAAGGACAGTGTGAAACGGGAGAAGGACATCGAAGAAGCCGCCTTCGAGCAAAGCAAGGCCTACGAGTCTATCCAGAATGCCTTCCTACGTGGCAACGAAGTCGCGGCGAGCAGTGCCGACCACATCGCCGCGGGCGAGGAGTGGGCACGACTACGAGCGGGATGGGACCAGGAGGAGGGCTCCACCTTGGAGTCCATTCTGCACAAAGCCCTGGCGGCGCCCAGGACGGCTGTGGGACAAGCCAGACAGCTCAGCCCGGGAATACAGCAACTCCTTGCCTCTATGGGAGCCTCCGTTGCGACTACACCGATGACTACGGCGGCTCATGTGGACCCGGCGCCAGTAACAACGCATTCAGATGCCAGTGCAGCAGAGCCCCGAGCCGCGAAGACTGTGGAGCCATCGACCGCCGACACACAACCGGCACACAAGCTGCTAAAAGCCGATGCTATGCCCTCGCCGGCACACCCTGGCCAGCGGGAACTTGGGACACCCAGAGTTCCCACCACAGTGGAGCCACCCCGCCAGGACATAAAATCAGCCACGAAACAGGCACCGGTAGTGAACCAGGCGCATTCTGCCTTGTCGGACAAACTGGCAGCACGCAGAGCAATGGATGGTGCCAACCCGATGCTACCTTTCCAAGGTGCAGGCATGCGCCCGCCCGGACTTCCGCCACATGCCGCAGGCCCGGCTCCCTCCTCGGTGGCCCTAGACGAGGACGATTCGGACCACCCCGACGTCGAGGACAGCGAGATGTTGGACGGAACCCAGTCACCAGGACTGGGGAAACTGGGATAGCACTGACGCCACCGATGGCGGCGCCCCGTAAAAGAACTCGCCGAAATGGAGGACGAAGCTGCCTGGAGGGGCCCTTCGGTTTGTCAGCTGAGCTTTCGGGAAGCCTTCAGCCGACAATCGAACAGCACCCCCTCGGGCAAAGCTGTCTTCCATGTCCCGGTGAGTGCTTTGTACGGCGGCACCGCTCCTTTAGTGAAAGCCGTGAACCTAGCGCACCTAGTGTACATATAGTACTAGGTTGCCCCCCGTTTCTCGCTGTACAGCAGTGGCATGGACATGCCCTTTTTTCTATGAGCAAGCCAAAGCCAAGTGACGCGGCCAGACCCTCAAAGTCTGTTTTTGACCATGCCGCTAGGAACGGAATGAGTTCAGCCCTCACCCTGTTGGACATATGTCCTGGTCATGTTCAAGGGGTCATTCCTTCTACCTGTTGCTTTCGAAACCGTGGAGCGCTAAACAACTGTATCGGTAGCTCTGGGACAGTGGCCCACAGGTTTCGGACCAAAGGCATACATTTGGGCTGCTCCTTTCCTTGCCGGCCTGAACCCTCGCAGAGACATTGGTCTTTTGCCTTCTGCGGGGCTCCAGGTCAAGTCTTCCTCGCTAGGACCCAGAGACACTGGACTGGTGTTTTCTGTGGCCTGGCCCCGCCACTACCCAGGCCACGACTTTGGCCGACACGGGTGCCTTCAGCAACCTTTGGGCCTGCCAGCTCGCGTGCTTCTTGCCCCGCACGCATTACCATCTTCCATCCGGTTTGTCGAGCGCTTAAGAAACACATCGGTAGCTCTGGGGTGTTCGCCGACAAGCCGGACCACTACGATTGCTGGCCCCTGGTGCTCTATATGTACTCGGGGTTGCAAGCCTTCTTTGTCCACCTAACACTGCTGGCATTGTTTGCGATGATTAGGCTCCATTTGGTGGCATTGCGAGCCCACAGGAGCCCACTTGGCAGTTTGCTCCTTTTGCCTGCAGTCGGTATGCCTCATACCTTTTTCCAGCCGATTGTGGCTTACTCGCCCGGGGGACACACAGCCCCCATTATGAACGACCCTCGGTCCAGCAAGGAAACGCAGAAGGCCAGGCATAGCCGTTGCAAGGACCAACGCACCCGCCCCGGCAGCGGGCTTCGTTCCATTGCCTGTTTTCTCCTGTGGCTTATAGGCCTTCAAGCAATGCCAGGACAAGTCTGGGCAGCACCACCTCTCTGGACTGAGGCGATCGCAGAGGCACAGGCTGCAGTTGCGCGTATGCCAGAGGCCCTTTCTGCTTCTCCTGTTGTGGCACAGGAAACGAGACAGACACCAGCGAGCCCAAATAACCAAGGGTTCGACTACACATCGGATACGGCACCGCTCGTTCTGCCCATCATAGGTGCCGAACGCGAAGTAGCAGCCTCTGGCTCCATGCTTGGAGTGACCATACTTGCCGCAGCCTACCAGCCGCTCTACAGAGCCTTTCCATGTGACCGTTGCGCCGGGCCCGAGTCTTTGCTTGAACGCATTCTCGAGGAGACGCAGCACTGCCGATCAGGCCTGAGCAGTGCCGTGCCAGCCCTTCCTCAACGTTGCAACGGTTACGCCACCGTGTTGCTCTACCCGCCAGAGGTCCCCCTACAGGATCAGGTTGTCGTCGTCATTGACCTGACCAGGGTAGGAGGCAGGTACTATGCAGAACATGTGCCCAGGCTTTCGACTGCCGAGGAGCTCCTATGCAAGGTCCTCCCGCAAACGACACACGACGATAGGGCCATTGTACTTTGGGTTGCGAGCAGGGACGCGCCCTGCACAGGCACCGCACCACTGAATTTGCAGTGCGGTGACGTCCTTGCTTTCGTCCGGATGGACTGTCAGCCTTCAAACCCAGGGTCTTTTCAAAGCCTTTTTGACCCGACTGCCGAATGGGGGCCCTTGCAACATATGATCACGACCCAGTACTTTCCGGTCAAACTTGTCTTCCACAGCAATGACCGGTTTTGGCTTGACCTCTCCTTCTTTCCTGGGTCGGACGTTTATGCAGCTCTCAGTCAGACCCTGCGAGTTGCCACAGATGAGCTCTTTATCAAGACCACCGGTGTGCTCTCCGATGTAGAACTCGAAGGACAGGCCTGCTCCGAGGTTGTCTTCGTCAGGAGTAGCTTTGCAGCAGAAGGAGGCACTGAGGCAGCAGGTCCCACTGTAACTGTGCTATGCGACGCACGCCAAGTCGCCAGTCAGGCCTATTGCGTGCAGCAGTGCCCCTCAGACCATCACCCTGCAGAGAGTCACTCCCTGCCAGTCGTAGTCGTCAAGCGAGTCCCTACTGAGCTGACAGATGGAGGAGTCGCAACTTACCGAGCAGCAGCAGGCCCGAGCCTCCTTCACAGACTCTACTTCGGTGGAGATGATCCAGTCGTTGAGCCCGAAGAGGTCCCGCTAGATGACACAGGTGAACATCAGGCCCACCACCACCAACTCGGACACCTTCGGGAGATGGATGGCCCCCCTGACGACTCCGACGAGGACCCAACCGTGGATGCTAAGTTTCTCGTGTTACGTCTTGGCTGTGCCCCGATCGAGACTCGTGCCACTATCCGCATACCTGCGACGATTACCGAAGCACTCAACGCTGTCTCGTTCACTGTTGATGATGAGGTATACAACCTATACCCCAACTACTATGCAGTACGCCCACAGCTGTCAACCACATGGGGAACTGCCCTCGCAATGCCAGCCTGGGCGCGGGCCGAACCGGTAGCGATTCTAGATCTTCGCACTTGTGATGGCAGGTTTTTCGCAGCAATCCTGCCCAGTCGCACCAGCAGAGCACAACTGTGCGAGGCAGCAGGAGTGCCAGATGATGGCACCGTGCATGTCTTTCCTTATGGTCTCGGACGACCCATGCCAGCCGACACTGTCGTTGAGACAAACATTGGAGGGAGCATCGCGTTTGTGCCAGCAGGGCAGCTACCCACGCCCAGGGGCTTCCTTTCAACGATGTTGATCTCCACGGCAAATTGGGACCCTGCAGCAATCCTCCCGATTTCTCCAGGAGGCCATCGCAGTCCCTACATCTGTCTTGTCTTCGACCAAGAAGTCAGACTGCACCGCATGCACCACCCCCCAGGGGAGCATATAGCCAGCCTTGCCGAAGAGTACGGCTTCGCCCCGCACATGACTACTGTTCAGGCCGTCAGGACAAGGCTTGCAGATGCCAGCTTACAGGGCTATCACTGTCAGGGAGTAGCACTCATCACAGGAGACCTCCCCAATGTACCCATTCCCCCAGGTAGACCTAGGCCTGAGGTTACCCTAGCTGGGATAGACTGCAGGCCCATACTCCAGGGCTGGCATCAACTCCTTGCGCCAGGAGGACGGTACAGCCACGCCGAGCTTGCCGAACGCTTTGCAGAGTTCGCGCCAGAAGGTTGGCAGCCTCAGATCGAAGGGACAGCCCTTGATGGCGACTCCCTGCTCCTCGACAATGGAGCCGCCCTTACAATACAGTATGTGCCAGTCACCTCGGACTCTGAGCATGGAGCAACCAGCAGCCCCGGTTCTACTGACGACGAGGTTTCAGACAGTCATACGGACACTGACGACCATCCGCCCGTGGGACGGCCAGCCGAAGCCCTCCCCTCCACCCGTTCAGACGGTGGAAGAGAAAGGACCGAACGCAGCAGGTCCCCTCCCCACGGATCGCCCGATCCTGTGCCCACACAAGAAAGCAATGATTGTGCGGACACCCGCTGTGTGATAAGGCCAGTCTGCCGAAGCGAGCCTATTGAGCCCCAGATGCCCATGTCGTATCCCACCCACCTTAGCAACATGCCAGGTGAACAGCAAGACAACTGTGCCTCAGAACAGCAGTGCACAGTTGCAGAGAGAACCGACGCCGCAACTCCTGGATGGCAGCGGCCGCTGGCCCCTCACATTCAGTCCCAGCATCTAACAAAACCATCGCAAGCAAGCGAAGGATTCAATGGCGACATGGGAGCGGCAGTACAAACCATCCACTGCCTTATCCTCAAGCACGATTACATCCCTGAGCAGGCCACTGTATCAATTGGATCCCCAGCTGCCACAGGCGAGCTAACTCGAGCCCTGCAGCACCTTAGAGTGCCTAGTGTACGCGAACTGTACCCTATGCTGTTGCCTGTTATGCCGCAGCCTGTAGCAGGGATTGCAGTTTTCAGTGCTCTGCCAGCTTGGGCAAGCCAGCCAGGGATAGTTCTGGACACGACACAGATCGACCAACGTCTTTTTGTTGCGAATGTCCCGGCACTCGTGACACGTGCCGACCTTGTACAAGCAGCGAACCTGCCTGCGCGGCTCGCGGTGTTGGTAATTATGGGAGATAGCAGGACACCCATCGCAGAAGACGAGCTTGTGCATGCCACACCTGGCTCTCTCGTCCTCTTCCGCACTGCAACCGCAGGAGCTGATGACAGATACGTTCTTGAACAGGCTTTGGCCAGTCAGCCCAACTGGAACTATGAGCCTCCTGTCATTTCACCTCCTGTTGAACAGGCGTACTGCCTGGTACAAGCCACCTCCAGTCGATTGCATGTCGTCAGGAAGCATGACTCCCACAAGCATTGGCAGTCCATCGCCGACGCCGTCGGTCAATCACCAGAGAACATTTCCCTCTTCGCAGCAAGACCTCGTCCTCTGGACGCTGCCATCCAAGGCGTGCCTTGCCATGCGGTGATAGCAGTTTGTGCTACCCCCCGTAACCCCCCTGCTGCCAATTGGCACCTAGCTGTCGTAGACAGCCGACATACAGGGCAAGGTTGGAGAGCTTACCCAGTTACGGACAACAGCTTCGAAGTAGGGAACCTCTTGAACATCTTCCGGCAAGAAGCCCCGGCAGGTTGGGATGCTGTGCTCGCCGGAGGGTCCCCGCAAGTCGGGCAGGTACACTCCGTGCCCGGGAAAGTCTTCCGTGTCAGGTACCATCCCTCGCAGACTGACCTTGCGTCCCAGCCAGACGCCCCCGCGCCAATTGCCAGCACGACAACCGAGCATGTCAGGAATGCCGGAACACAGGACCTGGCCCCGATAGGAGAGGCCGAGGTTAGCCCGACCGACATGCCAAGTGGAAGTCATGCAACTCCAGATGTAGACGAGGCCGACCCACTGCAACTCCTCATCTTTGCACAGAATTTCTCCCCTGAGGAGGTTGAGGTACGAGTCAGCCCGGATGCAACGATCGACGACGTCCTTCGGCAAGCCGCCAGGGACAGAGATGTCACTAGAAGACGGCTCTTTCCGAGCCTACTCCCACTGCCAATCCAGCCTCCTTTTGCCTTTGTATGCCTCCTTGCGGTGCCTCTATGGCCACATGAAGGAATTCCTGTGCTTCTGGTTTGCACGATACGAGGCCTGCGCATCTTCATGGAAGTGGTGCCGTCCGTCCTGGACACAGAAGGCATACGCAGGCTAGCAGGCCTCACACCAGCGGATCATGTCAACATCTTTCACAACGATGTGATTGAGGAGGTACAGGCTGGCACACAGATACATGTCCGCCCTGGTGATTTGATCTCGATACATGAGACAGGACACCCCTTTGCAGCGCCAGTTTCACTGCCGCGCGTGCTCAACGTGCCGACAGGGGGTCCTTCGGGACCAGGGGCTTTCCGACCACATGACGACTCCATATGGATCCTTACCGACCAAGGATCCCGGCGCTTTAACGATGTCCGACACCCTGGGGTCCCCCTGTGGACGACAATTGCGACAGCGCTTGGCATCCAGCCAAGCGTCTTTCTTTTCGTTCCACCCGCCCCTGCGATAGCCAACCATGCGCATCAAGGATGGCTGACAAGACAGGCCTTTATCGCTGCGAGGCATGAGGACAATGCGCGAGTCCCCTTCTTCCTGGATTTGCGACCAGTCCTACTTGGACTGCATTGGGCGACAGCCCCTGCCGGACTCGTCTCAGTGGAAACACTGTGCCAGCGCCAGCAAAGGCGATGCCCGCCAGGTTTCTATGCCCGCCTTAGTGGGGGAGCAGCACATGGAGACGAAGGTAACCACTTCAGGCATGTGCACGCAGGCCAGGTACTTACCATGGAGTTTGTGCCAGGGTGGCAGCACGACACAGCTCAAGTCGACAGTCGCGACGACAGGGACCCCACCGGTCAGGATCGTCCTCGCGAGCCCTGGGGATACCCAGGTCAACAGGACGACGAGAGAGCCCCCGGCCACACCCTCCCCGATGTCCAGCCCACTGCTCATGGACAGTCTGGGGCGGGTCGGGCGTCCACAGCCCCAGGAATGAATGGGACAGGCGACACAGGCGGCGCACCTACCAGAGATCATAGGGATAAGAGTGATGCCAGGACACAAGGCCCCAGGATCAGGTGCTCTGATGGAGTTGCAGACCACCCGGACAGGAACAGCGCCCTTCCCAGCTTCATCTTCAGCCTCGTCGGTCTGGGTGTTCTTTTGCAGGTTGCCCTCTACACCGGACCGCAGCTCCACGCTTTGCTCATCCTGATGTTAGGATCCCTGTGTACTGCAAGATGTCCTCGGACACTTCTTTGCGCCCTCTGTGTTTTGACATGGCTACAGCCAGCGTTGACTGCGGCAGTCCTTGTCAATGAGCCCGGCATCCCACCTGACAGCACACATGGGCCGGCGACCTGTGGGTCGGTGGGGCCACGATCTACGCTCAGACCGATCCCCACACCTAGCCGAGGCCAAAGCAGACGCCCTGCCATAGGTTGCAGGTCTGTCACCTTTTATCTCATCGATAGTAGGGGGGATGAAGAATCAGATTCTGAAGCCGAGGATCTCGACAACGTCGAACTACAACCCACCCTGCTGGAATGCAGTGAGGCTACTGCAAGATATACCGCCTACTTCGAGGCAGCCACGCTTTTGGAGGTGCTCAGTGAGCACGCTGCAGCTACAGACCCACCGCCAAGCTTTCCCCCTGAGCCGCACCCTCCTAAAGCGATGCCTCGCCAGACAGTTCTGTTAGAAACTGCCATTGGTGTCACCGAACACCAGCGCCACAGTCTGGCCATGGAAGCCCTGCTACCTCACAGCAAGCCAGCGTCGGCAGATGGCCATGACATGGACTGGCTAGACGCCGACCTTTCGGCGCTCCTCAAGGATGCGAGTGTGCCGCTGCACCTACGCACAGCCTTTCTCAACTTGCGCACTTGGCATTCTGCTGGGTGCCCTCCGCCGACCCACTTCGAGCTGTTTACGGATGGCTCAGCAAGTGCCAGCGAAAAAGACATTCGTCCATGTGCGTGGGCACTAGCAGTCTGGGCTCAGTGCGGGGCACAGAGCTACCTAGTTGGCCATGCCAGTGCCCAGGCCTCTTGCCCCGAAACCCCCTACTTTCTGGGGGAGAAGAATGACACGGCACTGACGGCCGAATATCTGGGGCTCCTGTGGGGGCTGGTGTGGACGGCCGAGTTCGCCCCGACCCACAATGTACCCGTGTCTTTCAGGTACGATGCCATAGGGGCCGGACATCCTGTGTTTGGAGTCGCCAAGGTGCCGCCAGAGACCAATAACCCGTATGGAGAGCTCGCTTTCCTTGCCGTTGCTCTCCGTCAGTACGCGGGATGCCGCGTGCCTTTGCAACACTCGCATGTGCAAGGTCACAGCGGCCACATTGGCAACGAGTTGGTAGACCAACTAGCCAAGCGAGCCCGACGGGTTGAGGACGACCCCTGGAACCGATGCTTGCCGACCTGGCCAGCAGAGCTGCTTAGACGACACAGGTCCCTTCTCCCTTGGGCCTGGACTTGTCTGCACGGTCCCGGGGACATACCCACTCTCTACTCTTTCGAAAGCGAAGCACACCGGCTCCAGACCGCCGACACACATGCATGGATCGCCCCTATGCAAGGTCAGAAGGAGGCTCACGTGCAAGCCTCGGAGCTGCAGTACTGCATTAGTGGGGTCTCCTTCAACGTGCTTACCCTGCGTGACAAGCGTCCAGGGACGCCAGCACAATCTGTCGGCATGCGAATGCCGGGCCGCAAGCATGTCCTCAAACGGGCCCTGGAGCCTTGGAGCCCTCTGCTTATTGGGCTGCAGGAAACCCGCCTTCCAGGGGACCAAAGCCAGCACGACGCCGAGCACTTGGTATACCAATCCTCCGCCACGCCAACTGGCACAGGCGGCTGCGCCCTCTGGATTGCAAAAAAGGTGCCCTTTGCTGAGGGACCAGATGGTCCCCTGTACATACGGGACTCAGATGTCACGGTGCTGACTAGCGAGCCCAGGGCCCTTGTTGCAACTGTTACGGCAACGCAGCTCCGCCTTATGATCCTGGTGCTCCACGTCCCATCCTGCGTCCATGCCGATGTGCAGGAAGTTGCCCGATACTGGCAACAACACCGTACCACCATCGAGCGCCGGCCTGAGGGCATGGATTGTATCGTCCTGGCCGACGCGAATGCCAGGGTGGGTACCGTAGTGTCAGACTACATCGGCGACCTGGACCCAGAGACAGAAACTACTGCCGGAACGCTACTGCACGACTTCCTTGCTAGCACAGGCATGTTTCTTCCAGCCACCTGCCCCGAGGTGCACCGGGGACCTTCTGGAACCTGGCGACAGCCAAATGGGGCTTGGTTCCGGATAGACTACGTTATGCTGCCACTCACATGGAAGACCTTCGCGGTGTCTACCTGCGTGCTTACAGATGTTGAGGTCCTACAAAAACGGGACGACCACCTGCCCGTGCACTTGACATGCAGTTTCTCTCGGGCGGTGAAGCCCGACCGATACTACACCAGTGCCAAGACTACTGTTCGGCCTGACCCTCAACTCTATAACTCCACTGCTGCACAGGAGGCAATGCTCCGTGTGCCGGTTTGCCCATGGAACACCGACACTGACCAGCACTACCACAGTCTGTCGCAGTACTGGCTACAAGCGGCTCGCGACCTAGTTGGGGACGCCAAGAAGCAGCCAGTTCAGCCATACCTTAGCGAGGGAACCTTGGAGCTTGTCCAGGTACGGAGAGCCCTCCGCAAATACCTCCGTGATGAGACAGCTGAATACACCAAGCGTTGGTGTATGATAGCTTTTGCAGGTTTTAGGCTGAATGCAGAGGGCCGCCCCTTCACGCAGCGTGCAGCTGCGCTTGCAGATGCATGGCTTCAAGACATTGACCATAGCATAGCACGTGCAGCCGCCCTTCTGGATTGGTTTGGCCGCCAACTGCGACAAGCCGTACACCAGGATAGGCGAGGCTACCTGCAAAAACTTGCCGAGGCAGCGATGGGCTGCGACTTTCGCAACCCCCGAGAACTCTACCAGGCCATCCGCCGTGCGTTTCCAGCAGCAGGTTCCTCCAGGCGAGGCAGGTTCACTCCCCTTCCCACGCTGATCAAACCGGATGGGACCAAAGCCCAGACCTCTGCGGAAAGGGCAGAATGCTGGAGGGCCCATTTCGCAACGCAGGAATCTGGAGAACTCATTGCGGTTGCCGATTACACGCACAAGTTGGATTTTGCGCGACGCCCACGGGGCCCTCCTAGCTTCGACCTCAGCGCCATCCCTACCCTAGGACAAGCCGAACAGGCCGTAGTCACCCTTCGAAATAACAAGGCAGCCGGCCCAGACGGCATTACTTCGGAAATATTGAGACTGCACCCCGTGGCTGCCGCCAGGAAGCTGATCCCGCTCCTTATGAAAACCACCTTCCAGATTCGCGAGCCTGTTGGCTGGAGAGGTGGGGACCTGGTCGTTCTGGCCAAAAGAGCGGGTGCTGCGCTGCGATGCGAAAACTTTCGGTCAATTCTCATCTCCAGTGTTACTGGGAAGATCTACCACAAGTGCATTCGCAATCGACTCAAGCAACACCTCCTGCCTAACATGCCCCCCTTGCAAGGAGGCGTTCAAGAGGGAGTCGGCATCGAGTTCCCCGCGCTGGCTATCCGAACCTTTGTCCACCAGATGCATGGCCTCCGCCAACCTTGGGCCGTTGTTTTCTATGACCTGTCCGCGGCCTTCTATTCGGTCATAAGACAGTGCCTCGTGCCCGGCACCGACTCGGACGAAGGCCTGGTCAAGCTCTTGCACTCGCTGAACCTGCCCCCGGGAGCATTGTCTGAGCTCAAGCGGCACCTGCAGCAGATGGCAGAATTGCCACGCCTTCACGTAGGGGGACACCTGCAAGGTCTGGTCGCAGACCTTCTAACAGGAACTTGGTTCAGGCTGAGCGGACACCCGGCCTTGACCCTCACGCATAGAGGGTCAAGGCCGGGAGATCCAACCGCCGACATACTCTTCGCCTTTACGCTGTCAGCCTACCTAAATCGGGTAGCTAGCTTGCTGAAAGAGGCCGGCCTGGCACAGAAGCAGATCAGTCCTCCTGCAAGACCCGACTGGGCTGCCACCAGCCGACCCTCCTGTTATGGCAACCCAGCTTGGGCCGACGACTTCACGCAGCCTATTGTGGCAAAGTCGCGTGTCGAGCTCATCAAGGAGGTGAAGGAGTCCGTTGCCCTCCTTACGGCACATGCCACGACACTCGGGATGAGCATAAAGTTTGGGCCAGATAAGACTGCGGTTGTTATCTCCGAAGCAAGCAAAAAAGCCGCAGGAGACGGCCGAATCCACCAAGACGAGGATGGGGCTCACCTTCTCATCCAGTCGCCCTGGCAGAAGGAGCCGCATCGCCTACCCGTCGTCTCAGCCTACAAGCACCTTGGCGGTATCATTACCTCCAACGCCTCTCCGGCACCGGACTTGTACTTCAGGTACTCCAGAGCAGAAGGGACGGCTAGGCCATTGCGTAGGGTGCTTTTCGGCTCACGACAATTCACCAACACGGTCAGGCGCAATCTGCTGCGCGCGCTTGTCGTCACTAAATATATCCACACAGGCGCAGCCCTCGTCCTGCGAGCAGCTTGTCACATACGCCTGTGGGAGAGGCATCTGCTTGCGCTGTGGCGCAACCTATGCCGACGCACCAGCGCCGAAGAGCAAGAACACCCGTACGCCGTGCTCTTACAGGCCGGGACGTCCTCCCCGCCATTGACCCTAGCCAGGGCAAGAGCGGGTTTCCTCAGCAAGGTCGTCACTAGAGTTGATGATACCCTGGTAGGATTGCTCTGTGACCACTTCCTGCTCCACCCGGCATCGTCATGGTTGGGGCAACTTGCAGATGACGTGGATCAAGTTGCACAGTACCTACCTGAAGTCCGCAGGCTCTTGCCTAAAGGTCGGGAGGTACCAGCACTCCTCACGGCCGCTAGAGAAGACCCTACTTGGTGGCTACGTCAGGTCAAAGCCACAGAACGGCTCTTCCTGAAGGAGCTCGAGATTTGGCAAAAATCACGGGACAGTGCCCAGACAACTTTGTCCCACGGCAGCCAGTCCGGTCTTGCCACGGACGGGGAAGATTTGCCGCCACAGTTTCCGCGCCCCCATGTCTGTCGACAGTGCGGAAAAAGCTTCGTACTCCGCAAACACCTGTGCCTGCACCAAGCCAAGGCCCACGGGCACCTCAGCCCCAGCCGACACTTTGCTATCTCCGAGCACTGTGCGGCCTGCCACAAGTACTTTGGCCTAGTGACACAGATGCAACAGCACCTTAAACAGTCCATGCCATGCTTGCTGCGCTGCAGCCACCTGTACCCGCCAATGACCAAGGACGAGATTGCGAGACTTGAAGCACCGATCAAGGCTCGAAAGAAAAAGGTGTGCTCAGGAGCCTGGTCTCATTTCGTAGGGTCGGCCCCGCCTACGTTGGCACCGAGGATCCTTGGGCCATTCATGCCCACCGCCGCGGAGCGGACAGCCGGAGATAGCACAGATGAGGAGGTCCTCCTCATTGCCCTCAAGCGCCACTACGTGCCCAGCCCTGAAACCCTGACTTGGGTCCAGAGCTATATCGCCGAAAAGTCCAGCGAGGGCCCCCGCGTCACGGCAAAACGCTTTTGGCAGTACAGGCCAGGCAAGGCAGCTTCATGCACGTCCGTTTCACCTTTTTGAATTCAAGCATTTTTGGGACGCGCCCTAATGAGGGCCCTGGAGTCCGCAAGAAGAAGAAGAAGAATATTAATTTGGGGGGCTCCTTATTCAAATTCTATACTGGGCCCAAAAACCGTATTCCAATCATTAAGACCCCACTGCTGACGGTTTACGGGACCGAGGATCCACGGATATCCTTGCTGCTATGTTTGATTAAGGTTTGGGGTTTAAGTTTCTCCGAAGCCCTAAACCCTATGAAGCCTCTAAACCGGAAACCCTACACCCTAAACCCTCTAAACCCTAAACCCGTTCAAGCAAAGCATAGGACCGCTATTGTATGAACTATTATTGGTTTGTTTAAGCCAAACTCTATCGAATGTCTGTGCTTAAAGTTCTACCAGCGAATCACAGGGACCCTGGGTCTGTAGAAACTTGATCGAGGCAGCCATGCCTCCTACTTTAGGGTTTAGGGTTTAGGGTTTAGAGTCAGGTTAGAGCTCTTTACATAATATGTAAATTACCCCATGGTCTTGAGGAGGGTTCCGAAACATGGGTGGGATAAGCTTAGCCCTACCTATAGTCTCCATTGTAGTTCCTTGTTTGGGGATACCTTATAAAATCCTTTATATATATATATATATAATTGGTTAAACCAAAAGAAGTAACTACACTGGAAACTATAGGTAAACCCTAAACCCTCAATCATTATAATTGGTTAACCAAAAGAAGGAACTACGATGAAGACTATAGGTAAATCCTAAACCGGGTGGAAGTGGGCTCCGGGTCGTTTGGCTGGCCTTGTGCGTCGAAACATCTTTCAGGCTTTGGGTTGGTGGTTTGGGGCTTGAGGGGTGGGCTGGGGTCTAGGGTGTTGGGGGTTTAGGGTTTAGGGTTTAGGGGTGCGGTAGGGTTTAGGGTGTTGGGCTCTTAGGTGAGGAGGGTCTGCTTCTATTTTTCGATTTCTGCTGTCAAGCCCAACTAACTATCCTAAAACCCTGAACCCTAAACCCTAAACCCTAAAACGAGCAGTGGCACCTTTTTGCGCTTCGACTGCCTCCCCACATCTGGGGGAGCTGTCCAGGTCGACACAGCACGTGGGCACAACTTGCACACAGTCAGCATGTCCTGGAGACTCAGTTCTCTTCGTCATACGTAGGGGCAAGGGTTAAGAAACTTGGGGCTAAGTTCTAGTTCAAAGGCTTTCGGGGTTTGATGGTACACGGGTCCTCGTCATAAAGGCACGAAGGCAGAAAGTAACATATCAAAGACCCTACGACCAAGAGACTTAGAGGCCCCGTTGCTTCCAACTCACGAACACTAGAGGGGCCTTTATAATCAGAATAGGGTTTTGGGGCCCATTATACTATAATTATAATAAGGAGCCCACAAAGTAGTATTTATTAATTATTAAGGCCCCTGCATTACACTCCAGATCATTTTGGGGAGACTATGCTGCCTTCTCGAAGTTTTTACAGTTTTAAGCCACATAACACCATAGACCATAGCAACCTTATGCAAAACAAAACCCTTCATCTGAGAAACCTGTACTGCTCGATTGAAAACATCCTTTGCTCTTGCTTCTGAAGGCTCTTTCCCCCCTTCAGGGTTTTTGGGTTTATGCTCAGAGCTGTTGAAAACCGACCCTATACCCTAAACGGGATTTCGGGGCTAGGTCCAGAACTTTCGCTTCAGGGCTGACGAGCTCTAAACCCCAAATGCTGTATGGGCTCTGGGTTTTTGGTTCAAGGACGCGAAATCCCTTCAACCTTTTTGGGGGCGGGGGCTTTCGGATGCCCTCCCTCTCTTGTGATCCCCCCAGGCCGCTGCTCAAGCATGAGGAGTCGTCTTAGCTCCTCAAAAAGAGCCCGAAAGGTCCAAGAGACCTCCAAGTTCCGGGGTTATAGGCTGCTTAGGGTTTAGGGTTTAGGCTCTATAATAGGGCATTGAAGATCTCAGCACGGTTGCACCCACCCCCCCCTAAGGGTCTCAAGGTCTAAGGGGTTTAAAGTTTGAACCCTAAACCCCCTAAACCCTAAACCCTAGACCCTAAACCCAAAACCCCCCTCTAAAGTTTGAACCCTAAACCCCCTAAACCCTAAACCCTAAACCCTAAACCCAAAACCCCCCTCCGGCCGTATATTCAGGTCTGATGAACCCTCCGGGAATTTCGCCAAAGGAAGGCTCGTGGTCCTCGCGGGTGTGCTCGCCCTTGAGTGCACATTTTGGGATTTAGGGTTTAGGGTTTAGGGTTTAGGGTTTAGGGTTTGGGGTTTAGGGTTTAGGGTTTAGGGTTTCCAGTGGTTTAGGGTTTAGGGTGCTTTGGGGTGGTTTAGGGTTTGGGCTGCTTTAGGCTTTAGGTTTCCGGGCTTAGGATAAACCCCACAAGCCCTAATATACTGGTCTTAATGATTAGACTAGGGTTTTGGGGTATTTTATACTATACTCATAATAAGGAACCCCCAAAATAATATAGGTAGGGTGCTTCTCGGAGCCTTCGAAGGTTTTCTGAGTGTTTGACAGGAAGTGGTTTAGGGTTTAGGGTTTAGGGTTTAGCTGCTAGATAGGATGTTTGAATACGGGTTTCTACAGCACTTCTTTTCGGGTGTAGGTGGGGAATACGAAAAAAAGGGAGCTTCAGAATGCAGCGAGGACGGCGTGAGACGGGGGTGGACCCGATGCTAGCACCATCGGATCACCGGCTCTAGGATAGGCCTCATCAGCGTTCGGACGGTTCCTTTCGGGTTCTATCGGTTCCTTTGAAGGGATCTGTCGTGGGTCTATACGGGCTCTCGGGGTTTAGACATTAGGCTTTACAGTTTTAGGGTTTTGGGCTTTGAGGGCTTAGGGCTGAGGGGATTGGGTCCAGGCATTAGGATGAGCCTCATTCAGCCACACAACAATTCGCAACCTAGTTTCAATGTTCAGGGTTTAGGGTTGAGGGTTGCAATGTTTAGGGTTTAGGGTTTCAATTTTTAGGGTTGTTTCGGGTTTGGGGTAGAACACATGATCAGGAGAAGGGTGCCTAGCTTCAATAATCCCGTCTCACAGATACGAGTCTTTGCGGCACTGGTATGTACACTGTCTTTTCATCACGTGCATCCCGGGTACGGGAGCAGTCACCACATTTCCCTTGCATTGGTGATCGGGATTTTGCTAGTACACTTCAGTATGACTAATTCGTCACAAATTCCCTAGTTCATAAACTACACCAATATACGCCAAAATCTGCTCTACGTACATAGAGGCCCGATCATAAAATCATACAAAACTCTGGGCGCCTACAAAAAATCCTAGAGAGCCCTCATCAAACCCCAAAGCCTTTCAAAAAGACCACAAGACATTACTTGTGGGTGTGTGTATATATGTGTATTGTATCTAACTCGAGTTCAGGCTTATCCTCAGCAGCATTTCTGCACCAGACAACTGACTTAGCAGTCGTCGAGGCCACGGGTACTTTTCCTACCGTCGCCTGAAACGGGAGCCTGAGCCAACGGATCCAGTCCCTGAGTGATGCAACCCACAGACCGCCCACTACCCGTAAAGTTTAGGGAAGATTACCTTAAATCATAATAGTAAGGCCCCTATATTTGAAGGTGTATTCCTCATTTAATTCAGGAAGATCCCTTGAATCATAATAGTTATAACTTGAGGTATATAACTCATTTAAGGGGTATTGGGTTCTCTGGGTGAACCCTAAACCCTAAACCCTAAACCCTAAACCCTAAACCCTAAACCCTAAACCCTAAACTTTGGGGTTTGGGCGTTGATTCAACCAGTCTTTTTGGGATTAGGGCTTGGGATGCCCATGGGGGCGGATGTTGTTATAATAGGGTTTGGCATAATTAAATAAATAAATCAATAAATAAATCAATAAATATATATATATATATATATGTATATATATATACATATATATGTATATAACAATAATAATACCCATAATCATAGTAATAATAATAGCAATAAATATTCATATGTGTATATATATATATATGTATATATGAGACGATCACTGAACTACGGACGGAACCCTGCTTAGGGAATACGACCACTAGCAAGCCATAGGCGCGATGAACCCTTCGATTCTTTTTCGGTGGTCTGAGTCTTTGCAAGGCATGAGCTGCTAAACCCCCGGTTTAGGGTTTAGGGTTTAGGGTTAGGGGTTCAGGGTTTAGGGTTTCGGGTTTAGGGTTTAGGGTTTCTAGACCCTAAACCCCAAACTTGCAACTTCCCAACCAACCCAGACCCCAAAATTTTAAAGACGAGCCCGAGACGGTTTTGGTGATCATGGTGAAGACGACGAGGGTCGGAAAAGTCAGAATAGAGCAGAGCCGCGGTTCAGGGTTTATAGGGTTTAGGGTTTAGGGTTTAGGGTTTAGGGTTTAGGGTTCAGGGTTAAGGGTTCAGGGTTCAGGGTTCAGGGTTTAGGGTTTAGGGTTTAGGGTGCATGTTGGAATAAGTATCTGAGGAACTATAAGTCGCATTGGATTACCGCATACCTCTATCTAAAGCTTACTCCCAAGCGTCATAATGTCAAAGGGACCTCATCCGCTGCTGATTGAGGATTGTATGCGCTTCTGGTTCTTGCTAAAGAAGTCCAGTATATGGCATGCTCTCCGTATGATGATTACTTAAATTGAGTTCCTTCGCCATGCACCCAACTCTGAACCCTCAGGGCCCAAACCCCTATACCCTAAACCCTCAACCCTAAACCCTAAACCCTAAACCCTACTATGAAGCCCCGCAACTCATCCGAACTGCTCCCTGAAGGCTGGAGTCACTGCGATCAGGTCTCCCTTGGAGGCTCCAAAGAAGGCTTTAGGGTTTACGGTTTAGGGTTTAGGTTTTAGTTTAGGGTTTAAGGTTTAGGGTTCAGCAGCTCCGGATCGAGCAGTTTTACAGTACTTTCACGGTCTAGACATAACACCCACCCACCCAGGAATCCCATAACATTGGAAAATACAAAGTTCGCTCTGTT